ATCTGAAGAGGGTATGTGCCTGATGTGGGTCAGGGGCCAGTTATGCACTGCAGAGGGGGATGTGTGTGTTCCTGGGATCCCGCACACGTTCAGGGGTGTGTGTGCACACACGGAGGCATGTGGATGCATGAGTGTTTGCAAGCACAGAGAGTGTGAGGAAATGCATGCATGTCCATGTTCACATAGAGAGGTGTGGGGAGGTGCACTGGAGTCCGGGTGGGGGGGTGTGGGTGTTCAAGCATAGATGCCTGTGGGTGAGGGGTGCATGTGAGTTTACATACATGCCTTCCTGAGAGCATATGGGGAGGATGGGAGGGTGCGTGTGCTTGGCTAATTTGAATTGCAAAGAGGGCCTTAGTTGGGAATGGGGTACTCAGATGACAACCCTGCTTGTTCTGGGGTGTTACCTACAGTGCTGGAGGAATCAGCCTCAGAACTAGGTGTTGGGGAGGATGAAGGGTTTGTTCAGTGCCAGCCTCGGCGCCCTGCCCATAGCCAGTGCCATGCTGAGCAGATTAAAGGGAATCAGAGGCATCTAAGTGGCCCAAGCCCTCCGAGGCGGCCCCTGCTCGCCCAACACCAGCCGCTCCAAGGCCCCAGCTGATTTCTGTGAGGTCTCTGCTCTGGGGAGAGCCACACTCCCCTTGTCAGCCACTCCCCGTGCTCCAACACTTTCAGTGTAATTCCCCTCCCTGGGTCTTCCCTCTGCTCTGTTAGAGCTTGCCCAGGGGCTGGAGGTGGAGGGAGCTTGGGGACAGAGAGCTGCCTTCCTCCTGCCTGTACCCTCTGGCTCCAGTGGCTGTGCACAGGCTGCCCCTTCCAGGGCTGCGCTGGGGCAGGATAGTGAAGTCCTGTGTGATTGGTGGGGGACACAGGGACAGCTGGTGCTCTTGGGGCCCTGGAAGGGCCATAGAGCAGTGACTGCACAGTCGGGCTGGGTGTCCTGGGACTGGCGGGGTTGGTAGTGGCCCAGTGTTTCAGCCCCAAGCTTCCTCGCCCCCACCCTGACATCCCATGGCTGGGCATCTACCCTGTAACTGTGACCAGCACTGATTGTCCCTCTCTCTTCCCTTTCACAGGAATAGTCTGCTATTTTTAGATCTACAGTGTTCGCTGGGAGGATTCACTGACCTTGGTGAATTCCAGCTGTCAGAAGGCCTAGGGATCAGTGCCAGGCTGGGCTGCACCCCCCCATTTCCCCACATCTCTCACCTCCTTGTACTGCTCCCCACCCTGGCACAGAGGCACCGCCCTGGTGTAGGTCTCCTCTCTGCATCAGCACCGGGAGGGAGGCAGGTAGACAAGGCTTCAGGAGGCCTTTGTTGACCAGCCAAGTGGCTCTCCCAGTTCCTTTCTCCCTACTGCTTCTCAACCTCGCTGGTACACCACGCTCTGCTCCTGCCTCCTTTAATAAAAGAGTAGCATTGGCTCCGTCTTGAGTTTTTCCTGTCTTGGGGATGTGCACATGAGGGGGGTTTGAGACCAGCGTGGTGGCTCACCCTGTGACCCCAGTGCTTTGGGAGGCTGAGGTGGGAGGATCACTTGAGCCCTACAGATTGAGGTTACCGTGAACTCTGATCCTGCCACTGGTCCCCATCCAGTCAGGGTGACACAGCAAGATCCTATCTCAAAAGAAAAGGATAAAAAAACAAAGGGTTTGAGCAGCCCCTTTGTGAAGGGCTCCTTGTCCTGTTCGGTCTAGACAGCAAATGGGCACCTGAGATCAGAGACGCCCATCAGGGGGCTGAGCAGCCACTTCGGGCACATCTGAGTCTCAGAGCAGGGACAAGAGCATGAAGGGTGGAGCCCGGGTGCTCAGCTACAGCGGCTCCTGGTGAAGGGCCAGTGGAGCAGGTGCCGGCTGCTGGCCCTGTCCCTGCACTGCTGCCCTAACGGACGCCAGGAGGGAGGATGCCTCAGCGGGGCCGGCAAGGCAGTAGATCCCACCCACGTCTGCAGAGTTGGTCACACTCCAGGGACTGACTTTCTCTCATCACGTTCCCTAGAGACTAATAAGTAGCAATTTATGTCCACTTCATTCCCCCAAATTATTTAGGTCCCTACATGAAAATAAAGACTAAAAGCGACTGTGTGTCTTTGGTCTGTGTCACTGGTAGGGGGAAACACCAACCAGAACTAAAGATGGGAGAAATCCCAGA